GTGTGTGTTGAGTGACTACGCTGCATCGTGCATCCTCCGAGCATCCTCCGAGTCGAGCATCCTCCGAGTGACCTCCGAGTCGAGCATCCTCCGAGTGGCCTCCGAGTCGAGCACTGCAGTATTTCTGGGAGTGACAGTCGCCTGAGAATTCAAACTCTACAAAAGTCTGTTAAACGTGACACTTTTACTCTGTGTGTTTCCTCTGTCCCTGTGGGTTCGATCTTTTTACCACCATACTGCAGTTTTAGTCTTTGGTGGGTTATTACATCAATTTTTCTTTACATTGATGTAATTCAATTGAAAATTCTATTGAATGAAATATTCTGCTTATCATATTTACTCTATAAATAAAATAAATCTTCAATATGTATCTAAATTCAAAAATTGTCAATTTCAATAAAATCTTTTATATTTGATTAGTACAGAGTTTCACCTCCCAATAGTGTCACCTCTTAGTAGTGAGATACTCCCAATAGTGACTTAAAAGTGAAGAACCATTAGATCTTAACTTGAAAATCTATGAAATAAGAACGGTACGTCATTATTTTCCAATTGTGACATAGCATCTCAATTAGTGAGCGTCCGTGGCATGTGGCAAATATTTGCCACCTTCTTTGACATTTTGAGTTTGGTAACTTCCAACTGTTAGTATCTCACTAGACAGATTGGGGGAAGTTGATATCTCAATTCAACAGAAGAATCTTGCAGAAGCTGATTCATTCAAGTCTCACGAAAAGGTTGCGTTCGACGATCATGTAAGAAGACCATGTGAAAAAGACGGGTGATCAAATGAATAATCAAGTTTACAGTGTGTACTATGAGAGACCTTGGAGGCTAATGGATAACGCGTGAAAGGAATGGAGTGAATTTTGTTGGATTCCAATGATAGTTGAAATGTGCTTCTTCCTCTTCCTCTGCTTCCTCTCATGACCGAAGGCTATCGTCTGACCTCAATGATTCGGACTGGAGTTTATACCTCAATTTCATGTGCAGTTTGGAGGTCAAAGAAATTTCCGAGATTGTAAGTCTCTTGTCATTCCTACGGGCATGACTGAATGCTAATGATTTTTAGTGCGTTTCAGATCAGCACAATAAACCAAGCATAGTTCATATTCTGGTAAGAATATCAAGAGCACACATATATGATATAAATTCAACAATACTCTCTTGAGCTTCTATACGAAGTTGAATTCCAGAGTTTAACATGTAAATGTATGAAAATTAGTAGAACTTTTTCCATGGAAACAATTGTTTAATGTATCCACAAACGATAATAGTTTTGCTAGAAGATTCTGTGTCCAAAGTCTTCTTTGAAAGGTTCTTTTGGGCACCGATCGTGTATCAGATGTAGTCTTCAAGCTCAATGACTTAGACAATACCTTGGTCAAATTTCAACGAAGATGATGGGAATTACTCCACAAACATAGTCAACTGATACTTTCTTGCCAAAATTATTGGTGTTGATTTAGATTTGTTGCTATGGCTAGCTGAGTCTAATATGAAAGCCCTCTTGTCTTTTCTTGGGACTCATCTTCTGATATTGCATAGTATCTGCCCGAAATGAAACGACGTTTGAACGAAGGACGGTGAAATCAAACGATAAATGAACGAAGTGCTGTGAAATTTGTACATAGAATCAATTGAGTAAGATGAACATCAAATCAACCCAATCAGTGAGAAGTGAAAATTCTGTGAAATCTGTACATCAAATTAATTGAGTGAGATCAACATTGAATAGACCCATTTAGTGAGAAATGAAAATTTTGGGAAAATCTTTTCATCGAATCAATTCAATGGGATCAACATCGAATCAACTCATTCAGTGAGAAGTGAACATTTGAATTGCTAACAATCTAGAGCAAATTTCATAGAACAGTTTATAATTGTGACAGTATAATTGCATAAATCAGTCATTGATAATCGAATTAACATAATTTGCCATATCGATCAAAGTTTATCAGAGATGTTTGTCTGTAAACTCATTCTATCATGTACTAGTCTTCTATAATTCGCTATAGATCCTATCCTAGACTGTTTCATGGAAACAATTCTTTCGAATTGTTGTTAACATATCAAAGGACGACCAGCTCTTTGGAGATTACAGAGTAAATTAGCTTGAAGATCTTTAATTAAAGATGACTCAATGAAGAAGAAATTAATCAAATCATTGATGACTCTGTTCGCTTGTTCAATCGTAATCGGAATCGGTACGTGGACAATATCATCGTCATCTGAATGTCTCGCACTCTGTAGGAGGTTGTGATCTTCAAGTACAAACTAGACTATGTCAATATCATCAATATTGTCATCACCAGTAGCATTGAGAGCATCTATCTAAATTAAATTTTCGGCAATTTCTTCAATATCTTGCGTCATGAAGACTAAAAGCTTAAGAAAAAATCATCGAGTCAAATTTCTTGCAAAATTTCCATTAAATCATCTATCTATTTGAGCCTGTAACAAATCTATCAATATCTTGATTAGAATTCACATGAGAAATGACAGGAATACAATTGATTTTCACAAACCATCTTCGAATGATATTCTCCTCGAGACTATCTGATGCCAATTTGATCCAACCAAGCACATTCCATAAATGTGTATGATCGTCAATTGGAAATTGAGAATGAGGTGCAAGTTCAGTCGTTTGCCAGAGTTCATAATCAGTCATCAGGTGGTTCAATTGAACACGACAAAAGTGCGCTTTGAAAGACCGAGTGATTACTTGATCAAGAGGTTCACATTCGCTTGTAGCATTCGGTGGAAAAAAAATAATGCACAAGTTCTGAAATCGGAAAAAAGTTTCCTGTGAACCTGATGGATCCAAAATCTTTGACTCATAAACATGAGATGAGCAATTATCTTGCACTATATAGAAGACAACATTTTGACTCTTGGCAATCTTGTTGAACTTGTATCGGAGTCGCATATAAGATGATGCATCCTGCTAGTCTTTAGGATGAGTATCATAAATACTTCCAAAAGTCTTGCTGATATCTAGAACATGCTTCAAAGCCCGAGGACGAGCACTCTTTGTGATAACTTGAGTAGTAAATGTTTCACCTGAAGCGTTTACTCCGAGCTTAACTGTGATTCTATCTTTGCTTCACTTGACACCCCGACTATCTGAATTGGCTGTGCAGTACGACCATGATGATGTTGTGCGATGATGTAAAGCCGATTCATCAATGTTGATAATACATTCGAGTGGAACATCTATCAACGCTTCACAAATTTCATGTAAATGTTCTTGACCTGGATGAGATTGAAGTTGTTATGCTCTTCGCACCTCTTTACACTAGATGTTGAAACGCGTTTCAGATATATCTCCCTCCATCCATTTGAAGCAACAAATGTCTGAAGATGAATAATTTTGAATGATTTTAAACATTGCCTGAAGTCATTCAGAATCTTGTCTCAAAAAAACACAGCCTTGTTTTTGAGCACCTCTCCAGTTACGTTCAGCAAGGGCGCATCGAACTCAACGTGCATATGTCATTGATGCACCATGTCGGTAAGAATCTGCACTCGAATTGATGTAAAAATCATTTTAACCCCATCTTTGTTTGATTCCGATGCCACCTTCCAGATAGCTTCTCTTTGCTTTCAAAATTTTGAAACACTTGGACGTGCTATTAAAAATGCTAATGCTGCTTTATCCTGAGTGGCTCCTGGTTTACTGAGAAAATTGAGCATCTCCAATTTCGTCTTGACATCCAAACGCTTACGCTTTAACATTGTAAAATCGTAGTGAACCTTGAAAACGAGAAAAAACGCGCCAAACAATGAACTTGGAGAAGTTTGTGGCACAAGTAGACCACTTCAACGTCGAACACGTGTAACTTTACAATTCACATCCTGAAGCTACGAAACCTCCTCTAAGTGACAACTCCGAGCGATGAACTTTAAGTGTAGAACCTTACGTGTCACTATTGAGATGTGAAACTCTGTATATTTAAAATTAAAAGATGAAGTTTTAAGAATTTGATATTATTCATGTTTCATATTTTTCAAAAATAAAATTATTAGTTATAATTTTTAAAATATATTTTGTAAATTTAAATAATCAATAACTCTATATAAAACAACTTATGAATAAATTGTCAAGTAATGACTCTAATCTTTTCATGTATATTACATGAAAATGATAAATTAACATTTATATGTAACAGATTTTCGTGACTAAATATAAAATTCAAATTATTTCAAAATAGTGCTTACATATAAATTTAACTATATTTTAAATAATATGATGCATATTATACAAAATTAATATAACAAAAACAGAAATAAATATCATAAAGCTAAAGCTATATGGTAAAGCTATATCCATGTACTAATGATTTATGTATCTTTTAAATGTATTTGACAAAGTCAATCATTCCAATTATTAATCATAAATTATTTTATTTTATTTTATTTTGAATGAATTTTACAATTTTAATTAACTCTAGTTTAGAGAATTATATATTCTAGATCCAATCATTGTTATTTTATTCCAATCAACCCATCAGGCACCATCTTCAAACGCTGTCTCCCGCACATCGAAAAAGCTCGTAAATCTCCGCTTATAAGAAGCTCATTATATCATAGTGTGGTCTTTTCATTACAAGATGGGCGGTGCTTCGCTCAGGTGAACAGAAAAGGAAAAAATGCTGAATCTGCGGTAAGCAAAGCATATGTGGACTGTCGGCAGCGGCAGGTTATTGTAATGCGGGAGGAACACAAAAACTCAACTGCGGATGATTTCAGTAACGAGTGACTTCCAGCCAGACACATTCTGGCTATTCATCGGCTGCTACATCAGGACCTCCAAAGTCAACCTGCGCTATGGGAGTTATACCAATGGAGATTAGTTTTACACAGCATTAGAATGATGTCTTTCAGGTCAACATTCAATCCTACTACTCTTGGAAGGAGGTGGGGCATCAGTAGCAAATGCAGTGCAGATTCTATTCGATGGAGCCAGAAAAGAGAAACACGAAATAAGACATACTGCTTGAGGTGACAAATTCTTTGCCTTTCCATTTGTAATAAAAAGTTACAATTTCGTTTCGGCACGAAGCAAGTTCTCTCCGATATACAAAACATCATTTCTCATTTTCGTACAGCTGCTTCTTGGAGAATTGTCAAAAAGATCCCAGCTTCCCTAGGTGAAAAGTGAGTGGCTGACTGATGATTTTACATTGGATCTGATTGATGGTAACTCTACTGATACTGATAAGTTGATGAACTAATATTCTACAATTTCTCGTCCTGGTCGCGGCATAATAGGTATGAAAAAATTTCATGGCACGACGTAAGCCATATCTTCCAAGAACAATCTTGAACAGGGTTGCAGTTCACCATAGAGCTCGACAACTGTGGATTTGTTACCACAATAAATTACAAATTTGATTGACGAAAAGTAGAACTATCTACCCAACGTGGTCGCTTGAATATTAGTCATCCTGTTCTAGGCCATCAATGTACTTATCGTAGAACTTCCCCGCTGTCTCTAGATCCCCGAGTTCTGTATAGCAGTCCGCTATTGCACCATATGCCTCAGTATTCCCAGAGGACTCTCTCGTCATGTGGGAAATTGTCAGAACCATCGTGTGGTACTTAATGGCATCCTTGTATTTCCCTTGCCTTTGACAGGAAGCACCTGTGACACATGAGGACGTATAATCAGTCTCAAAGAATATCTTCCTATTTCTTTTTGTTCCATATTGCAACATAACAACAAACAATAAACGACCGTCGACTGCACCTCCAGAAACAATCACTCAACAGAAAAAAAACCAAAGGAGACACATATAGGCCCCGGAGTAAGAAGCTCAATCGAGCCACAGGTGTGAAGGATTGATTCACCTAAACCGCGCGCAGCTTTCTTCTCTTCGACAGTGTCTTTGAGTTGCTTTGCAAGAGGAAGAGCTTTTTCAAATTCTCGAAACGCGTTGACTGGTTTTTGCTCTCTGAGCCAGCGTTTCCCGGCTTTCAGACACGACATCAATTCTTCCCTTACTGGGTCTTCCCGTACCTGTATGAATATACAACTCTAGTTAAACTTCGACCATTATGCAATCTTCATTACTTTGGTAGAGGTGTCTCCGTGTGACCATTAACATGTGGTTGTTTCCTTCATGTGCAAAATAAGTCTCTGACTTCAAGTGATCTTCTAACATTAAACAGCGGTTGTCAACGGAGTCACAAACCATGAGACAAGAGCTACGACCTTGTTCCGCACCTGAACGTCTGTGACGCGCCCACTGCCAACTGGAGCGTATGTCAGATTTGGAGCATAGGACTCCACTCGAGATTGTCGCCTTAAGTTAACATTAATTTGTCGAAGTTGAGAATTTATTTTCTCAAGCTCTAACTTTCTTTGCCGAGCCAGTACACCTGAGAACTCCAAAAGATCAAGTCAAATTGTTAATCTTACGAAGCTAGGTACTAGGTCAGTATCGCAAGCTCGTAGGACTGAGACAATCACACTGGAAACTCATATCGAGAAATTTAATAACTAAAACACAAGCTGTTCACATAGCATTACGAAATGTAGACATAAAGTGCTGAAGAAATCCATACTAAAAGTTCTAGAAGTCAAATATTACACGAGCAGCTAGTCAGAGTGCCTCCCGATATGGAAAGCCATTTCAAAACATTGAAATGGCTTTCCATATATACCCTATATAAAATAAAACTTTATTTTATATACCAAAAAAAAAAAAAAAACTTGCACTATTCCAGGAGCATAGATCCGATCTTTACTAACCCTTCTGCTTATTGATGCTAGATATTCAATATCGACATCGGAGGATACCGTATACTGACTGACGGACGCTACATTTATTGAGAACTCCATTCGCGTAAATTCCGGTTCCAAAAAACGTATGACAGTGTCCAATACTTACCGCCTACAACAGCCCCCGTGAGAGCCAGAGCTTCTGCAACACAAGCGATAATGAACATCAAGTTGGTGCTGCTTTCCGGTACAGGCGCAGCCTCCGCTACCGCTAGTACGTTGTCGCATACTGTGAAACTTAAGGACGATGCGATCAAAACGGCAAGGCCACCTTTTGACATTCTGTGCAACGCCTGCATTAAAATTCGCTAGATCATGTTCAGTGAATACCCAAAACACAAAACTCAGGATAAGACATAAAAATCCAGTGACTCCGAGCCCAATCCTTCAGTTTTCAAACTATTTGTACCCAATAGAGTGAAAGTGGTGCACGAAGAAAAGAAGTATGCTTGTTACCAACCATCCAATTCCTATGCAAAGAACAAAACTTTATTTTATTTAGGAGTCGCACCTAAAAATCATGAAGGGCTTAACAAACCAACTTGCAGTAGGGAAAATATTTGAATGCCTCATAATCAGGAAAGACTTGAACTTGACCCACCATAAGCTAAGTTCCCACAGATGGTAATATGAGCTCTCTAAATATTGCAGCAAATCCTGATTGCGGGCCAAAATTTTTTCTTTAGAAAGGAACTGTAAGAACACAGGACTGGACTCACATCCAGAACGTCAGCCACAATGAACTCCGCTGAAAAGAAGAATTCAAAGGTCGGACGGGGACAAGTACACTGATGCCTGCAATCAGGTGAAATCTACTTTGTCCTCCCCGAAATATCACGGTTCGGAGCCTCCACACAACCAACAAAACAATATCGTTCTTCATCAGACTAGCAACCACCAGTCATCTCGCCCAACACGCGCAACCCACCTTCTCGCTCTGGGAAGAAACCGACTCCAAAGCTTGCTCACTCCGGAAAACAGACTCGCCATGGTAGGAGGAACCCCGACTTTGACCGCCCGCGCTACGGCAGCAGCGTCCACTTCCATCCTCAATGCTGGCGCATCTCACAGCCACCGATGGGGCCGTGACATTCCTCCTGCCCGTTCTTGAGCATCCGACATTGCCCAAATGAGCAGGAAATGCAGCAGTGCCAGTGGACAAGAGGCTGGAGCAGCAGACAGTAGCACTTCCCATCTGAACAGCGAAGATGGGGCGCGCTGCGCAGGTTCAAATTGCCGCTCGATCAATCAATCCCCGCCCTCGCAACACCGACCGACTGGCTGATTGAGACCGCGCTCGGGCCTCGTCTTGTGCGAGAATCAACTCCGCTCGACTTTGCTGAGAGGGATGGGGGACGAGGATTTCTTGCGCAGGGAGGCGATCTTCCAAAGCGCCATCACGATTGCGGACGATCTTGCCCGAGAATCCACAGCTTCGTGCTCCAGGGCGAGGGCGAGGGCGAGAGTGGGACCGCGGCTCCAGCATGGCAACAAAACACGGACTCCAGAGGATAAGGGGAGTCCACGCCACGTGCCAACTAGGATCCGCCAATCGGAGCCAATGTCCGCCAATCGGAGCGGAGGCTGACAATCCCGAGTCTACCGACGACGACCGGGCCCGAGGCTCGGCTGGCGAGCGGGTCTCGTGTACTCCGCGCGACGAGGCGCCAGGTGGATTTGGGATTCGCTGAAAAGTGCTGGGCTGGCTTTAGTCACGAGTGAAACTCGCGACTCGCGGTGTTCGTCGCGGTGCCCGATGCTGACGGCTGGATGCCAGGGTGAGCGACATCGGGGCAAACTTTTCGCGACGGGAGGCAAGCTCGCGCGTGCCCGCGCGACACCTCTGGTTCGGCGATGGGAGCACGTAAAAGCAGCCGCTTAATTGTCTGCCTGGTTGAATCCTTGGGAAGTCACGAGGGCAACTGCCCAGGACACACGACCTTTGTCAGAGGAGTGTGCCGGGTCCATGTTTACCACCCTCCGCAAGAGCAATAACCGACCAACAGGAGATTTCTCCAGGTGATGCTCGTGAAATTCGTTATTGTAATAGAATAAGTTTCGTTGATAAAATAAAACCATAACGTTTCAAAGTTCGATATCATTCACTTTCGTGAGTTTTCAAGTTGAAATTAACATTTTTTTAAATATGTAAATTTACGTTGGAAACCAATTTTAAATCTTTATATTCATTTACATATTAACATTTATTTTAGATAGAACCTTCATTTATTTATACCATCTACATTTAATGCAATTATCTTAGATACTTAGGAATATTATTTGTTATTTGAATAATATCTTTTATAAAATACTGTTTAAAATATCCAACTATTATAGCATGTCAATTTGATAAAATCATCATTTCTTCGTATTTCTTTCAGATATTGTGGTATGTCATGTATTCAATATGTAAATGCATGAATTTAAATAGTTACCATCAAAGATTATGTAAGTCTATTATTCACTTCACTTTGGTCGATGGTGTTACGTCGTTACCATCTAATCTTCTTTAGAATCATTAGGAACCAATTCAAAAAGTCTCATAATTAAACTCATTGCTAATCTACGTTGCAAAATCTTATTTAATTTAAAACGTTGTGAAACATTACATGCAGTTGAGGTTAAAAAAATGTCTTTGAATTTACTTTTTCACTCTTACTAGATGAATCATGAAAATCAAATATTTTTTTTTATAAAAAATTAAAAAAAAAAATTTTTACTAATCAAATATTCAAAATATACTCAAATTTCTATTATTTTCAATAAAAAATATATAATTTTAATATTCAAATTAATCTCAACTTATAATAAAAATATAATTAATTTAATTTTCATTCAAATTTTACTATTATAATATAAAAAAACTTGAGTTATGAGTTAATTCATGTATTGAGAATTTTTATGATGATATCAATGATATTAAATTAAAAAATTTGATATATTTATCAATGTTAGATGAATGGAGCGTATAGAGCTATTTTGTGTTATCTTGAATGCAAAAAAAAACCATTACGTATAATTACTTTCTTAATTCTTCTTTGTAAGTTGTGTTTCAACTACTTAAATATGTGTTTGTTTATGCTTGAATCTAATAATGTATATCATGGTGAGTACAAATTGCCTTCAATCAATTTTGATAAAACATTAACAAAAAATAAAGTTTTAATATTAAGTTTTACTACATGTCAAACCGTATACATATTTTTTTTCCTTTTATTGTATTCATATTGCTAACTTACTATTCACATGATAATATGTTTGATTGCATATTTTTTTGTTTGAATCTTCAATTGAATTTGATATTTTTTGCATTGAGTTATTGAAATAGATTGATTGTGTTCAATTGAGACACAATCAATTTTACTTATATGAGCATTATTTACTTTATTTATTTACAATATATTTACTTATTTGAGAAGTTAGAAGAGGAATAATAAGAGCTCAAAGTAAATAAACACACAAAAAATTGCTTGATCGTTAGATATATAGAATTAAAAACTCATAGGTCAATCAATTTGATGAATTATTTTTTAACTTTGAAAAAAAATAAATTAAGAAAAATTATTACATTAACGGTATAAAAATACTAAATGTATATGAATTTTACATTTCATGCATAATCATAAAATATATTTAAAACATTTTGAATTCAATAATGTGAATCTAAATATAAGAAAATTCAACATGTTATAGCTCAAATAAAAATTTAAGCTTTAACATGTTGAAAAAATAAAGCTTTTTCTTCTAATTTTTCTATTGATGTATTTTTATATGAAATAATTGATACAAAATTGGCCAAAGCTGATTAGAAATATCAACATTATGACATTTTCAATTTAATTTATCAATCAAGAGTTTGAATAGTTGCATCAAAGTGATCTGATAACTCTTTGATGTAAATTTTACACTTATTTTTGGAAAAAATTGCTTGATGGAATTCCATCAGAACGCTAACTGCTTGATGGGATCCAATGCGTTCCATTTTACACAATGGGACCCTTCCGATCGCAATTCAATCCACCGTCATCGATGTTCTGCTGCAAGTTCTTGTAATTGCTTTCAATACGGGTTAGTAAAAGCATTGTGGCTCTTTGTAGAAAAGTGACTTCTTCCCGCAGTCACTTCACGGACCAAAATACGCAACTTATGTGACTTCGGCCAAGAGTTTTAGAAAAAAAAAGTAAGGAGTAAGTAGATTACGCCCATACATTATAACTATAATATCATTTTGGTACATGAAAAATTCACTCTTACACGATGAAGATTGGGAGCCATGGAGAATCTGATTAACTTAAATTTGAGAAATTTATTTTTTTTCATTGAAGTGTAAACAAAGCAATTACAAGAACACAACTGACGATGATCCGTCGGAGAGCTCTCATTTAGTAAAATGGAACATATTGGGTCCCATCAAGCAATCAACGTTCTGATGGGGTCTAATCAAGTAAATTTCTCCTTATTTTTTATATTTCATTAAGCTCCAACCTCAACTTTCATTTCCAACCTGAAAATTGAACATGGAGTTTTTTTCTAAGGAGTAGAATTGGGATTTGGTTTAATCATAAAATTATATGATATCATGATTATTAGATGAAAATATATACGAAGAGTAATATTCATGAGTTAAGGTGATAAACTTTTATTATTACGAATAGATTATTAGTGTTCAAGAAAATTACTTCAAAAATGTCCATATAGATAAAAATTTATTGATACAAATAGAATGAAATCATCATATTAACTTCTACAAACATGCTCTAACTAGTGAAAAAAAAACTATCTCAAAGATATATTTTTAATGGAAAAAAATTGATCCAAAAGTGATTATACTAGGAACAAATTGTTGTAAGACTAATCTTAAAAATACAACAAGTTACTATGAAAATTGTAATTTTCATGATTGTCTTACTAGTGGAGAAATTTTTTTCCAAATATGATAATATCAATGATGAAAAACTATCAACTCAGAGAACATTTAACAAGGAGTATAAAAAGTTATCCATTGAACTTATAAATATAAAACCGTGAACATTGAATTAAAAATGTAAAACATTGAAAGTAATATGTACATTTAGAAGTACATGACAGATCAAAGATACATTACAAAATTATTTCAAAAACAAAAATTTATATCTGTTCAATAACGTGCAATGTATTTATGGTATAAATTTCAGTTCAATTTGATTATATTAGGAAAATTTAAATGTATAAAAAAAAGAAAAAAAATTATACAACCATGAAATGAAGTTTACATTTATGATAAACTTTTTGGCTATTATCATAGCGTCATAAATTTGTCATTGGCTCTATTTCAAGAAATATATATATTTCTGTTTTGTGTTGAGATTACATTTTAAAGTTGATTTGATTAATGTTGAAAAAAATGTGTATGTATCAAGAAGATCAAAAATTCAATTCAAAGTTGGAATAGAACTATATTTGAAAATAAATTTTGAAAAATTTTACAAGTGACATAATTTTTAAAAAAATATATATTCTACTCAAAAAAATATTATATGCATTTCTGTTGGATTTTGATTATAATCTAGTTTGAATAATTTTGAAAGACAGTTTGTCATTAAAAAAAATACAAAAAAAATCACTTCAAGGTTGAAACAAATTGTGTATTTGAAATAATATTTTGAATCATTGTAAAAGCGTCACAAGATTTTTTCTAATTTTTCTTGATAAATATAATTAAAAATGTGTTTTAGGTCATGTGCCAAATTTTGATTTGATTGTGCAGAATTAAACCTCCCAATAGTGACACATACGAGTCTTAAGGCTAAATGTCAATACTAGAACATGTCAATTATAAGAGATTTTGTAGCATTAGGGTCTTAATTAGAGTTACACATGTTGAACGTTAAACCGTTCCAAGTGTACCACAAACTTCTACAAGTGCATTGTTTGATGTTTTTTTTTTCATTTTCAGCAGAAAGAAGTTATCAAGCAGTTGGATTTGAAATCAAATCGAGATGCGGTTAAAATAATTTTGAAATCAACTTGAATGCAAATTTTTATGGACATGGTGCATCAATGACATATGCGCGTTGACATCGAAGCGCTCTCGCTGAACGTGACTAGAGAGGTGCTTAAGAAGAAGGCTTTAATTTTTTGACACAAGATTTTGAATGACTTTGGAAAATGTTTGAAATCATCAAATACAATTCATCTTCATGCATTTGTTGCGTTAAATAGACGGCTAGAAAAATATTTGAAACGAGTATCAATATCTAGTTTGAAGAGATGTGGAAAACATAATAGCTTCAATCTCATCTAGATTGAAAAATGATTGCATGAAATTTGTGAAGCGCTGATCAATGTACTGTTTGAATGCATCATCAACATTGATGAGTCATTTACAACATCACACAACATTATCAAGATCATACTGCATATCCAATTTGGATGATTGTGGTTTCAAATAAAGCAAAGACAAATCACAATTACGCTCGGAGTAAGCGCTTCATGTGATAAATTT